CGCCCCCCCCCCCGCCCGCCGCCGCCCGCCGCACTCGGCCTCGGGGGTTCTCACTCTCTGCGCGCAGCTGCTCCCTGCTGCTCTCTAGGGCGCGGATCTCTCGGGCCAGTCTCTGCCGCAGCATCTGCGAGGACAGAAGCCTGTCAGTCTGTCCTGGCCACGCCAAACGCCGCCTCCCGCTTTGCGCTTCTCGAGTCCTTCCCTACATTAGATCGTTCATTCGACTGTTTATTCACTCAAAATGTAGTTCCTGCTGTGGCTGGAGACGCATCTCCCCCGTCTCTCATCACTTCCCGGTTACCTCTCAAACGTCACCTCTTCAATTTTCCTGACCCTCCATTCCCATCTGCGGTTCCTCAAATGTTCCAGGCACAGTTCAGCCTCAGGGCCGTGGCAATGGCCTTTCCTTCTGCCAGGACACGTGGGCCCAGATACCTGCAGCGCTTCTTTCCTCACTTCCTTCACATGCCCTCAGTGGTCAGGTCAAGCTCAGAGGCTTCCCCACTGGCAGGTCATGATCTACTTACTTCCTTGGCTGGAGTCTGGGTATGCCTTCCCCTGCCTCCACCTGCTTGGGATGGCAGACCTGGCCCTCTGGCTCTCTCCCTGCCTGGAATGCTGCCTGATGCACTCACTGATGTCACGAACGAGGGACTGACCCACTGTGGGGTAGGCACTGTATCTGAGCAAGCAGGAGGCCCGCCAGGACTCGGCCACAGTCAGGGCCAGAGATGCCAGGTGTGGTGGGGGAGGGGGACAGATTTAGGTAAAAGCCCATTGAGTAGGTGGGAGAGAACAAGAAGAGAGTGAAAGACCATTTTATGACACTGGACCAGTCGGTGTAGACACTGAAGCCAGGGGAGGTGTGGCTTTAGCTGAAGGCAATGATAATGACTCACATAGAATTCCCAGAGGTCCGTGTCCAGGCCCGTTGGCTCCTCCAGCTCTTCTCTGACATCTGACCTGTGGGACAGATGACCCAGGAATGAGAGAACACTTGCTAGAGCCCTCCTCACACACCAGCCTTTGAACCCTTGCCCAGTGTTCCCTCTTCTGGGAGCCCCTTCACAAATGTTATCCTCTAAGCTTTGCTTCCAAAGATTCCTCTTCCAAAGATTCCTCTCCCTGTTGCAAGCCCCACTCCCACTGTCCACACAGTGGCCTGCCAGGCTCCGGGCACAGTAGTTACCCCCATTCCCACTGACGGTGATTCTCTGCGATCTGAGAATTGTGGACAGACATTTGCTCCACGCACTCCTGCAACATGTGCTCCCTGGAGAGAGAAAGATGACACCTGGTCATAATCTATGGATGACCCTCTGCCCCCACTCCTTCCTGCAGGAGCAGGGGTTGGCACGTCTGTTCACAACAGTCACCCTTCTCCTTCCTGTTGAATGTGATCCTTTATGGGCCTCTGTCAAGACCATCACCCTTTCTTCCTGTCCCCCATTGAGCCCTGTCTTCCCAATAAAGCTTTATGCTGTGTCCTGGCCTGGAGCCTAGATCTGCTACTCCACTGTGACCCTGACTCTGGGTCTCAGTTTCCTCATATGTAAAATGGTGGTAGTGGTGGGAGAGTGACATTAGCCCTTAACACTTTCTAATTGTCATTGTGAGGCTTAGGTAAATCAGACACTGTGTGTCCTGTTGGTTAAGCATATGCAGACATTAAGACCTATCATTAGGTTTCCCCATGCAATTAAAATCATGGTGCACCTAGATGTGAGACCTCTAGCCAGAGGAATGTGCTAAGGTCCAAAGGATGGATAAATGGTTGCATGGACAGTTAACTGGATGGGTGACTGGCTGGCTAGACAGCTTGACTGAATGATGAGTGATGATGGTTGGATGGAGAAATAAATGAAGGATTGGTGGAAGGATGGATATATGTCTGGATGGATGGTTGGATGACAAAATGAACAGCCTGATGACTGGGAGAATGCTGAGAAAATGAATGTGTGGTAGATGAATAGAGGATGATTAGGTGGAAGGGTGGAGATATGATGGCTGTCTGGCTGGATGATGTGGCTGGATAGTTACATGGATGGATGAAGGGGTGAATGAGTGGGCAGATGGATGGGTGGGTACATGGATGACTGGGGACCTCAAATGAGCAGACAGTAAGTGAGTGGATGGCAGAGTAGCTGGATGGAAAACAGGGAAAGACCCAGAATAACACCAGTGGATAAAATTTCTTTGATAGATTAGCAGGAAATGATTAAATAAGTTAACTTAACACCAGCATCCAGTATCTGAGGTGATTGAGAAAGTCTCTTGTCTGGCTGTTCTACAGAAATGGGAACTAGGAGTGCATGTCCCAAATTCATTTCTCTAACTCTTGCTTCCCGCTCCTTCATATTGGGGAGTGAGGTGGGGAGAGCTGGACAGGACCTTTACCTCCGAGCCCCACTTTCCCTCTCTTGGCAGTGCAGCTGAAGGATCCTCAGGGCCTCTGTGGGAAGAGAGATCATGGGTCCCAGTGAAAGTGCTTGGGGAGAATGGGCCCCACATCATGTTAGACCCTGGAGTGCACTGAGAGGACATGGGCATCTACTCCAAGTGAGGAGAGGTCTGGGCCGAGAGGGAAGCACCCCGGTGCAGGCTTCAGTGATTCCTCCAGCTGCCCTGGGGAGTGTGGGCCTTGGTACGTGGTGGAGTAGCACAGGAAGCCCCAGGCACTGGGTGGTACCTTGTTTTTTGCTCAAGACCTCCTCTAGGTGGACTTTCTCTCCATTCACTGGAAAATACAACAGCACATTCAGGCCCCAGGGGCCACATCCTGAGTCCCACTGCAATTTCATGCAAGGAGCAAAACCACACAGGTGTAGGACAACCCCCGGCGAGGTGAGGGATCTTCTTGCCACCCCTGCACCCATCTCCCAAGGGGGCCATCCTGAGCCAGCTTCTCCCCTTCTGCGCTGGTGTCCCCGTAAGTGCTGTATGAGTGAAGACTGAACAACGTTCAAGGTTCACACTGAGGGGAGAGAAGACTACAAATAAATAAATAACCACGCTGTGTTAAAATAAAGACTCTGAAGAAACAAACCAAGCAAAGGAGTGAGAGTGTCAGTGGCAGGTGGGATTCTGTTTTTAGATGGCACCAACAAGGCGGGCCTGTCAGAAGGAAGCCTGAGTGGAGAGCTAAAGGATGACCTGAGATAGTAAGAGGCCAATGGAATCACGCGCTAAGAGCAGCCCGAGCGAAGGCCCTGAGGTATGTGTGGGAACATCAGCAGTGGTCATGGGATCTCTGGGTCCCTCGGGGCTCACTCACAGGAGTCTAGTTCTCTGTGCAGGGCCTCCCAGACAGCGTGGGCCTCTCCCAGTTCCTCACTGGATTTCTTCTTTGCTGGGCCAAGAAAGGGAAGAAGACACTGGGTGGGTGCAGCCTCTAGCCTCGCTCTTCTGGCTCAGACGGTGACATTACACATTCATCTTCTAATGGCCTGGAGGGGCCTGGAGTTTAGGGGTGAGGACTGGGGGCCCTTCCTGCAGGTCTCAAACGGAAACTAAACCCCCACGTTTACCTTGCTGAAGCTCATTAATCCGGTTAATCAGGTCCTCGATCTGTGGCTCCAGACTTCCTTCTGAAGAAAGAAAGAAAGATTGAGCCTGGGAAGATAACCTGACGGTGCAGAGCAGAGGAATCGGGCAGGGGAGTGCTAGCCCTGTCTGGGCTGCTGTCCATCTGCTGTGGGGTGACAGGCACAGGCTGTGCACCTGTCGCGGGCCCTGTAAGGGGCCTTTGCAGGGCTAGCATGCCGGGGTGGGGAGACAGGACCTGAGCAAAGCTGTATGCTTGCAGTTCAGGTGGCAGTAACTGCTGCAGAGAAGTGCAGGGAGACCAGTGGTGAAGGGCAGAGGGTAAAGGTGCTGCTTGAGATAGGAAAGGCCTCAGAGCAAGCGAGGGATGTGGGCCCTGCAGTTCTGTAGGGGTGGAGGGTGTGGAGGAGGAGCCATTTCAGGCAAAGGGAACAAGTGCAAGCCCCCTATGTGGGGGTGCCCCAAGTAATCCTGAGGGGCTAGCATGGCTCCAGCCCAGAGAAAAAGCGGAGGGAAGAAGGAAGTGGGGGAGGGGAGTGGAAGTGAGATGGCTCAGGTGGCCTCGGCAGAGGTTTCCAGATCCAATTCCCAGTGTGGTGGGCGCCAACACAGGCCTTCTGAAAGCTAGCAGGGAGGTGGTCACCTTTGTCAATTTAGAGTCTGGTTTGACCTTATTTAAGAAATGGGGAAAATACTGCTTTTGTTTGCGGTGGCAACTTGCAAGTTCCCCCGTGACAGGGAGAGGGCTGTCCCTCTAACTTCTCATAGTCCCTGCTTTAGGGCTCTGTGTGCAGAAGCCTTTCCATTTATCCTGCTGTGGTTCCAAGGCTGGCAATGCAGTGCTAGCGCAAAAAGCTCTGCTACCCTGCTTGGGTTTTGCCACCAAATCTTGACACCTGCTGGCATGAGTAATGCAAACTGTGACTTTTCAGTGTCACCAACTGGCCCCTGTGACTTCCAGGAGTGGGCGCTCTCTGCAGTGCATGTGCTTATTATGACTGACACAACTCCGTGGGGTGTGGAGGGGGCGGTGTCTGGTTTCCCAGAAATGAGTCAGTGGGCCAGTCTGCATTTCCAGTCCCTTTTGTTTTGTTTTTCATCTCTGGGAAGGGGGTTTGCACTTGTTGCACTTAATAATTTAAAAACTGTTGCTGTTTTCCTGTAGGTTGGCAAAATGGATGACTGGTGTGTGGAGGCAAGGGGGTGGGGGCAGGGATAGGTTCTTCCATCTCAGACTTCTTGAACTTTGAGTTGTGAGGCTGTATTTTTGGTTCAAAAAATTTAATTGTATAAGAAGGAGAAAGGGAGCTGGGATAATTTCCCAAGGTTGTGAGGTAAGGGGTCTGGGTCTGACTTAAAATCCCATACGGAGTCTCAGACACAAGGAAACACATGACCTTTCTGCAACTTTTTCACCATTTCCAGCAAGTCTTCAGTCTTCTTTGAAGACTTGACTTGCCCTGGGGAGATAAAAACCAGAATTACAGGACCCAGTAGTTACCAGAAGGACTGGGGAAAGGGCTAGGCCTATCTGAGAAGGGAGTGAGCTCTGAGAAAATGGGATGGGCTGAGGGGCAGGTTTCCAGCCACAGCAGGGTCCTCGTAAAACCCATGTCTCTTGTCCTAGGGGTTCATGATATGTGCCGAGCGACTCAGGACTCCTAGCAGTGAGATTCTCCCAGAGGGGTTGAAGGACATATAGAAACTGAATGGGAAAAGAAGGGGGAGCTTTTGCTGCTGCTGACATTGAAGATCTTAATGAAGTGCTAACCAATGCAAAGAGGCAGTACAATTTCCTATGAATTTATTTAAGAACATTAGCGTCTCAAATTTGCAAATACTTAGAGAAGTTATACAAGTAGGCAATGGCTTTTCATGGCTATAAACATTAAAACAAAAAGACATGTATATATTATGAGCCTTTTAATGAAGGAGTTTTGTCAAAAACAATACAAAGCAAAACAAACAAGAAAGCCCTATAGAAACTAAAAACTGAAATCTCATCAGGTTTCCAAATCTAAACACTAATTCCGAGGAATTACAAAGGGCAGAGGAACAAGCTAAACAACACCACTGAGGATGCGATCAACATCATGCAGAATGTGAACAACTCCAAAGGAGAGCCTGGTTTATACAACAAATAAATTACAAAGAACAAGAAAAAGAAATGAAACCCTACAGACTAAATGACTGGAAACATATATCAATCACTTGTAATGAATAGACCTTATTTGCATCTTAATTCAAACACACTTTTCACCATGTATACATACATACATACGTATATATATATTTTTTCTTTTAAAAATTTGAACAGTTTCACTACATCACGATACTTCTGCCTCAGCCTCTTGGGTAACTGGGGCTGCAGGTGCACACCATCACATCCAGTTTTTAGGGTGGGCTGGAAATTGAACCCAAGCCTCTCATGTGAACTCATCTTCCTGAGGGGCAATATCTACCAGCATGCGCTACCACAGATTGTTTCGCTATTTCTCTCTCTCTATGTATACATATACATATACATATATATATACACATATACATATATATATATATATACACACACACATACATACACACACAAATATAACTATTAATATGAGCCTGTGTTACTTTAAAAATTAAAACAACAAAAAATACAGAAAATATTAACATTATAAAAACATCTTAAACTCTTCAAATCAATAATAAAAGTCCAAATCCCAATTATCAACACCCCTCAAAGAAAAACCGCAGAGACAAGAAAGACAATTCACAAAATGCACGATAGCCAAAAAGTAAGCAAAAAATAAATGCTTACCCATGAAAGTACATAGTGTTCCATTTCAAGTTTTCCAGTAATAAATACCAAAGCCTTATCCATATCCTGTGAGTCAGAAATCCCACTCAGTACTTTCACACACCGTAACATACAAAGAATGGTGGAGAAGATATTCATTGTTTCACTATTCGTATTCTCTTTTTTTTTTAAGAATTATTTTATTTAACTTTATTTATTATTATTATTATCTAATTTGACCAGAGAAAGAGAAACAGAGCAAGAGAGGGAAAGCAAGAAAGCAAGCCACCAGGTCTGGTACTCGAACAGCAGTTGGCCATGTGGGAGTCCAGCACCTTTAATCACCATGCCCCCCATTGGCCCCTTGCTATTTGTATTTTTAAACTATAGAAGTAACCTGAAGATACCTTCAGGAATTAATTACAGCATGTTTGTAGAATGAAATTCTTTATAGTAATTAAAAATCATGTTGTAAATCAGGGATTCTTAACCAGCGCTTAATGAACTTTGTCATAATGTCTCTTGGAATGCTCACCTTCTCTATATCTTTGTCTCACTGAAGTCCTTTATAATGAATATGCATTATTTTTGGGACTGGCAGATAGCATAATGGTTAGGTCACTGGACTCCCACGTAGTTGACCATGGTTGGAGTCCTGGACCCGGTGGCTTGAATCTCATACCAGGTGAGTGTGTACATGCCCAAGATCCCAAGAGGACTGTAGAGGAGAAGGGACTGTGGCATGTGCAGCAACCCCAAAAAAAACCCCCCGCTGCCCGGGGCAGTGATTTCTCACTTTCTGTCTCTTTGTCTCTGTCTCTCTGGCAAGCGCACATGCCCTGTAGCAAAAATCTCCCTCTCTCTAAAAAAATAAGTTTTAATTTGCATTTTAATTTTTAAATTAATAAAATAATATAGAACACAGAATAAAAAGTAGACATCTCCCCTCTCCAACAGCTCCTTCTCCAAGTCACTGCCCTTTTCCAGAAGAAACCATTGCTAGCAATTTGGTGATATAATACTTAGACCTTTTAGCAAGATGTATTTCATGTATTGCTTTAATTTTTTTCGTTTTTACCCAGGTAACATTCTAAGAAAATTCAAACAATACAGAAATATGTGAAGTTAAAAATAAAACTTCCCCTACTTTGCTTGGTTCTAAATCTATCTTTTCCAGACATTAACAGGTTGGTGTTTCCTCTTGAGACTTTTTTCAAATATTCTTTTTTTTTTAGGGGGGGTGGGAGGTTTTTGCTACGGGGCATGTGCACTCACCAGAGAGACAGAGAAAGACAGAAAGACAGAAAGCGAGAAATCACCCCCCAGGGGGGATGGCCACACTGCAATCCCTTCTTCTCCATTCTCCTCTCGGGATCTTGGGCACACACGCATACGCACCTGGCGTGAGTTTAAGCCACCGGGTTCAGGACTTGAACCGCGGTCAACTACATGCGAGTCCAGTGATGTAGCCATTACACTAATGGCTAGTCCTTCAAATATTTTTAATATTTGGAAATGAAACAAAATGAGACAGCTACATTAATAGCAAGCAGAGGTGTTGGTGATTATTTTCTCTGTAATATTTTAATATGAAAATTCTCAAATGCACATGAAAGTGGAGAGGATACTATGAACTCTGATGTGCTCATGACCCAGCTCTGACAATTATTAATATATACCCACATTTGTTCCAGTTATGTCTTTCCTATGTTGAAATATTTTCAAACAAGACCCAGGCATCTTGACATTTCTTCTGCAGATATTTCACTAAGAGTCTCAACTACTTAAGGACGTTCTCTTAGCTGACCCTAATCCTGTAATCACACCCAACAGCATTATCACCAGGCAATATCTCCCAGTACCTAGACCATATGTCATTCTCCCAGATTGTCTTCACATCTTTACAGCTGGCTTTGAAACCTCTTCTGCAAAACCTCCATCTGTGTTTTGCCTCTTCACTGCTTTTCTAGTGCTAGTCATGAGACAAGACCAAGCATGGGTGATACATAAATCTTTTAAATAATCTAAGAAACATTTTCATAAAAAATTTTTAACATTCCATAGTACAAAAGAAACAACCTACAGAGTATGAACCCCTATTTAAACATTTTATTTTGAAGTAATTTCAAATGTACACAGATGTCATAGAAATAAGCCACAGTGGTCCCATGTACCCTTCTCTCAGATTCTCCACTTGTGAGCACTTCTGAACCATTATTGCAGATATCAGGGCCCACTATTCCTTCATATTCCAGTGTATTCTTATTTACAGAGAACCTGCCAGGTAACCACAGAATAACCATCAGCATAAACACTGATACAATATTAATAAACGATCCTCAGATGCTTTTAAAAATTTCCTCTCTTCCCCTTACATTTTAAATTATGTATCACTAATTCCATTTTTTTCTAAAAGAAAACAACAAAACACAAAAATGCCTCCAGCTTTGCACCACCCTCTAAATCCAAGTCCCTTGTCCAAAGATCAGTTAGGCCTTCAGACTTCAATCACTTTTCTGTGCAACACACACAGCGCTGGCTATCACCCTCCACATTTTACTCAACCCCAGTGCGCTTTCCTCTAATAAAAATATGACCTTTATTAGAGTCCAATCTATGTCGATGCAAAGTGATCTTATCCATTTATAATGATCTAATTAACTTAAATTGGAACTTAGTTTTAATCACTCTTCTCTGAAATCAGCCACACAGGCATTCTGCAGAGCACACTGATACACCTGGATCAGCCGTGTCTGTGGCTGCTCCTTATGTTTTGTCACCCTTGCCAATACACCAGTGACTGTTTCCAGTCCATACCTCCGAGTAGTCTCATTTCCTAGCACGGTGACTACAGATGTGAAATCGTTTTCCAAACGCTAAAACTATTCTGCCAAACTGCATCTAACAAAGCCTTTACAGTGTATTCTCCTAGTGAGGCAAGAATACCTACAGGGTCATCAATGCTGGACATTATAAGGTCAGTTTGATGAGTTACAAACGATAACTTGACAATTTTTTCAATGTACTCTCTTGCGGGTGAAGTTAATAGTAACTTTAATTTCAAAGAATCTGAAAGGTTAATATTAAAAGTTATTTTTAATCATTATATTCAAAGCTTAATAAACAGATGTACATTTGTCCTATTTCCATCTGTCCTTGGTTGAAAGCTACCACTTAGCACGTGGCTCTAATTTAAGAGTGCTCTGTGTTAAAGTTATTTCATTATTCAGGCATTTAAAAAATCACTGAACGCCTACTATATGCCAAGCAGGCATTGTCTTAGATGCCAAGAAAACAGCAGTCGACAGTCTCTGTTCCCATGGAGCTCATATCCTAGAACAGACAGTAAGTGAATAATCATGATTTTGATGTCTGCATACGTAGGTGTAGTAGGATGCAACTAACTTGTTCATTAATAGACTAGTTTGAGGAATGCAGGGAAGGGAGTGAAAGAGAAAGTTGACGTTAAAGCAGAATGATGGGCACTCCTCATTGTATTTTCTCTACTTTGGTACGTTCTGAAAATTTCTGTAATTAAAAAAAGACTAATATGGCTGCATTATTGCCTTGGGAGAGGTATTTCTTCCTTTGGGCTGGCGTGTAATTGCCAACAGTCTCTAGGCTGAATTTCCCCCTCCCCCTTCTAGGAGGTGAGGCCTCATTATTCGACCAGAAAAATGTCCTGGAGAAATAGCCCGTGGAGAAGGCTGTTGACCCTTCAGATTTAAAAGTGAGTCCATGCAAGGGGGGTGGGGGTGGGGGATACGTACTAGACATGAAATGATACTGGGAATTATGGTGAATTTCTATAGGGTGGCGGCAGCAGGGCGATTTCTATGTCCCCCTTCGAGCCATACTGAATTTCTTACTGTTCATCAGGAAAGATCTAAGCAACATGCTCGAGAGTAAAACTGACTACTGTTAACCTGGTCGATGAGAACGTTATTTACCGCCATTGTATTAAGTGGTTAAAAGTGGTTTTTTTTTTTTTTTCCTTTGAATAATAAAAAGGTTTAACATTTTATTAAAAAGTAAATCACTACTACTATCATTATTTTATTACTGTAACGGGCTGAATCCTTCCTCCTTTCTGCCCGGGTCAGGAGAGAGATGTAGACACTGGCCTTCACTACCTTCAGCCTGCTCTGCCTCCTCCATGGATTTCGGCGACGGCGACTCCACGTTCGGATGCTCCAACATCCCCGCCATTTTCTACCTCAGGGTGCAAGAGAGAGCCTCGGAAGATGATTGGTTGAAAAAAAAAAAAGAAAAAAAACAAAAAACCAACCACGTGGGAATGCAAGGCTCTACAGTGCGCATGCGCCGCACGTTGCCTCCAGTTGATCAGGGCGGGGCCAGGCGTCTGTTCTAAGCTAGCCTGAACCCCTGGTACCGCTGATTGCCAGCACGCATGTGCATAACTAGGAGGCCCTAACGCCAGTTTAGACAAATGCCCCGAACTAGATATCGGCCAGTTGGCCAGTGAAGGTTGTGGACAAACACACACACACACCTCTAGGGAGGTCTCTCTGTCTCTAGGTTTTTGTATGTTGTCAAAATCTGGGATAAATGTGCATGTGTTGTGTGGTGGTACAGGAGTTCAAGTCCCTTGTGTTGACAAATTGTCATTAAACAGCCTGAGTGGAGGTTAATTATATGTTTCACAGATGAGTGAAAAGAGCCTTGGATGCTAAGTGCAACTCCTAGGTATCAATCTGCCTCTGCCACGGTGTGGAGAAGTCAGTGGTCCGTGCCCTAAGTCACGTAGGTAGACTCTGGAGGCCACCTTCTCATTAGGCTGCAGCCAACATCAGTGGGATGACTTTTGTCAGGATAATGATGAACATAAGTACATGGAGGGCAAAGGAATATTCTGTGGGGTTTGGTTTTAGGCCTTTTATGTACAGTTTTGTTTAGTTTTATCCTCCTTAAAAATGACCCCCAGGTTGGTTCCAGGCAGTCTGGCCCTGCATTCCCAGTTCCAGAGTTCCTGTGGGTCACCTCAGAGATCCTGACCAGCCCTGGACACTCAGGGCTGAGATCCCATCTAGGAGGCAGACCCCTGAAGCGGGTTTGGAGGAGCCACCCCAACAGGCTAGAACATCATCGAAGAAGAGATAAGGCAGAGAGAGCTGAAAGAGGGGCCTAGGGATTCCCAGAGGTGAAGGTGCACTCAGTGGCTGGGAGAGCAGCCTGCCCACCTGGTGGCGGCCACCCACCTCCCATTTGTGAGCAGGCCCTCAAACTTTGTCCCATTGTCCAGGGACCAGCCACAGACACACCACCACCCACATTTCCAGGATGGAGACAGAAGGTGAAAGCTAGAGGAGTCACTGCCAGCATTGCCGGGTCCTGTAGCTCCACCTCTCAGAGTCCTGTGAACAAACCATTATGGGGAGCTTGGTCTGCAGAGGTGGCTGGGGGTGTAGAGTACTTGGGTGGGTAACGAATGAAGAGCCGGTCCTCCTCTTTCCTCACCCAGCGCAGGAGTTTGGTCACGACTAAGATGGCACCAGCCTTGGTCACCAAGGGGCTGAGGCAAGTATAGAGTTCAAATTTGGAGGTCACCTAGGGGTTTGGGAGAAGCAGAGTCAGATGGGCCAGAAGTGGCCATGGGTAATCCTGTCCACCCCACCCCAGCCCTCTTGCCTCCCCCAGCTTGGAAGATGGACCTGGCAATAATTCATAGGGACAAAGCAGGAAGCTGACATTACTGTGCCATGGGTGACCTAAGGGTTCTCAGTTGGGCCTAGGGATCAGCTGGACCTAGTGGTTTCAATTGGATGATGCTGGCTGTGTGTGGGGTATTCTATAGATCCAGGTTTGCTTAGCTGTGTTCTGGGGATAATAGATAACAACAGTGCTTAACATTTAATGAGCAAGTACTGCCCAAAAGGCCCTGTTCTAAGCACCTCACATTTATGTTCTATGATTTATAGCCTGGGCATAGCTTGCTCTCTCTGTTCCAACCACTCTAGTCTTTCCTTGCTGGTCCCCAAATTTAGCCAGGCTCAGTCCCATCTCACAGGCTGCAGGGTCCTTTTCCCTTTGCCAGTTGTACTTTCCCTCTGTACTTTCCACCCATGTGGCCCAACACTTCCCCTCTCCACTCAGATGCCATCTCAGGGAGGACTCCCCTAGGCTCCAGAGTTAAAATCTTGTACCTACCTTCTTGGTTTTTAAATATCAATCTCCATAAAAGGTAAAAGGGCTTCTTGGAAAAATGGCTAAGTTCAGGACGGGTGCAGAGAAAGTCAAGTAAGAATCGCTCAGTGGCAGGGATGAAGCAAAGAGACACAGGGATCAGCCTGGCCAAACTCAGGCTCCCACCAGCTAAATAAGAGATAATTTGAACACCAAAATAAATGCTAGAAAAGGATTTTAGTCCACTGAGTTAAAGAGAGTTCATGACCATATTGATACCAAATTAAAAAGCCAACAAATTAATAGGAGAAAGAAAAGTTCTTCTTTACAGTAGAGTTGCAACCAATAAATGTAGAAAGAATGAATGAATTAGAAAAATCACCACCTTACATACACCAGACTAACAACTGCTGCAGAACAGAATCGTTAGTGGATATTAAAATTAGTGGGTGGGGCCAGCCTGTCACCTGGTGGTTAAGGTGGTTGGATCCCACATGGCCACGATGCAGTTTGAGTCCTGGAGCCAGCAGCTTGAGAAACACATCAGGTGTATATGCATAAAATCCCAAACAGAGGGAGATATGGAAGGGAAGGGACTGACATTACCTATGGGAGATATTATCTCACTTTCTGTCTCTCTCCAGTGAGCATATATACCCTCCCTCTGGCAAAATTAAGAGTAAGATTAGTGGGTAAAAAAAGACAGTGATGGTTATCACTAAATATCACTACGGATATTTACTAATTACAAACAGAAAATACTAACTTCATAGTGGAGAATGTGGAGGACACACTGTGGCCACACAGTGATCAAAGTTGCCAACGTCAGTGTGGACCTGACTGATAACCAGGTGCCTCCAGACACAAGGAAGATGGCAGGGCATACCATCGCCTCTAGAGTATTCTTGCGAAAATGTACACCCTCAAATCATTCAGTGTAGCACTTGAAAAACCCAGGTTAAGGCCAGCAGTTGGCATAATGGCTATGTTGCTGGACTCCTATGTAGCCAACCACAGTTCGAGTCCCAGACTCAGTAGCTTAAACTCATGCCAGGTGCATGTGCATGCATGTCCAAGATCCCGAGAGGAGACTGGAGGAGAAGGGGTTGCAGTGTGGCCATTCCCCCTGGGGGATAATTTCTCACTTTCTGTCTCTCTGTCTCTCTCTGTCTTTCTGGCGAGTGCACGCACCCTATAGCAAAAACCTCTTAAAAAAAAAAAAAAAGCCCAGGTTGAGGAACATGCTACGAACTGACTGGTTGGTATTCCAGAAAGTGTCAAGGTTGTGAGAAACAAAAAAGACTGAGGAACTGTTCCAGAATAAAGAATTGGGGGACAGAATAAATAAATCCACCATGTGATCCTGGACTGGATTCAGGACCAGTAAAAGAGTATGAGTGGGAAAATTGGTGGAATCTGAAGGAAGTCTGTGGATGAGATGCTAATTTGGAAATGTTTATTTCCTGATTTTTAACAAATCCTGCTATCTAAGATGCTAACTTTTGCTGATACTAAATGAAGGGTCTTTTTGTAGTAGCTATTTTTTTGCAATGTTTACAACTTCTAAGTATAAAACTACTTGAAATTGGAAGTTTAAACATATTTAAAAATAAAATCCTCTGCCTAGAACGCTGCTTGATACACAATAGATGTGCAATCGACTTTTTGAATAAATATGCACTAACTGGCAGAGCCCGAGGGCGAGTGCCATTTCTGGTGGGAGTTATCGTGACCGGCTTGCCAAAGTGGCTGACCTTTAGCAAATCTATCAGAAATGAGGACAGGCGCCCAGAGGAGACTCTAGGGAAGGATACACCAGGTAGAGGGCACAGCATGGGATCGAGGCTGTAGTGTTGAATGTCAGGGACTGGCTGCTCTTGGGAGAAAAGCGAACAGAAGGGTGGGTCTAATAGGTTGTAGACAGTGTGATTGTGACAGGTTTCAGAGATGCACGTGTAATAGTAGAGACCATGTAAGCAGGCAAAGCATAGCCCAGGCAATGGCAGGTGTGCTTGGTGGAGACAACTATAGCTAGAGGGGATGCGGTGCAGGGAAAGGAAGCTTGAAGTAGGGAATTAAATCCTTCAGAACTCAACTCACCCAAGCCAGCAGCGTCTCCTTCTCAGCCACATGGTAAATGAGGCGCAGAGGTCGGGACGTGCTGTGCAGGCGAGCGTGCAGGCGGTGGTACAGGTCGGATAGCCTCTGCCGCTCCTCCTCTCCACTGTACGGGGCCTCTAGCTCGGGGCTGCCATGATGGAAGGAGGTGGGAGGCCAGGTTAGCCAGGGGCCTTCTTGGCTGGTCCATCTACTCTCTCTAGGAACTTCAGCCAAGTTAGGGAGCTGAGCCGACCCTATTAAACTGGAGTATTCTCAGTGGTTGGAGTCTAAACTTCCCCCATAGAACGAGGGGTTTTCTGGCACTGGTGGTCTCCTCTCTGTTGAGTGTGGGTGGATTCCTTTAGTTTGATGGCTAAGCCCCGACCAATGAAATCCCTGTTCTCTTCTTTCCAGAGCACAGCTGGCTATCTCTCTGGAGTCCTGCCTATGAGATGCTAGACTTCCTGGTTAGACAGGCCTTCCCATTATTTACAGATTCAGGGCCTACCTGGTAAACTGGGGCAGCTGGCGGTGGTGGTCAGGGATATCCAGTGGCTTGTAGAGAAAGTGCCGGAGGCCGGGTGCCCCCACGGCCTGCACACTGTAGGCGGGGACGTTGGCTGATGGCGCATTAGAGCAGCTAGCAGCATCCCCAAGGGCACGCATGGCACCAAGAGCACGCATCCCGTCTTCGACCAGGCGCCGGCAGGCAGCCATGGCATGGAATGCTTCTCGCTGGGTGCCAAGCAGCAGCAGGCAGACAGGCATGGCGTCCAAGCGGGCCACGTAGGCATAGAAGAAACCGTCTGGGTTGAAGCGAGGCAGGCACACAGGTGCCCATGCCTCACCTGCTGCAAAGGCTGGGGCACCCACCCAGTCAAGCAGTAGTTGCAGATCGGCTGGGTCCAGCCGGCACTCGGCCAGCACATTCCGCTCCTGAGCCACTGTTACCAGTCGACCACCAATCGCCAGCACTGACAGGGCCAGACCAGGTGCTGTACAGCGTCGGAGCAATGCACCCAGTGCTTCCCGCAGTGGACGGGCAAGGGGCACGCAGCGAACAGCACCTAGGAGCAGGGCACCCGGGTCCTGCTCCACATTGTCCAGTAGCCGGTCCAGTGTGCGCTCAGAGCCAGCCAGCAGGCGACGGAGATCATAGTTCTGCTTGTGTGCAAAGATGCGAGCCACGCTTGCACGTGTCAACGTGCTTACAATCTGTGCGTGCACGGCTAGCAGCTCACCACGCAGCTGCGCTGCTGACTGAGGAGTCCGCGACACAGCCACCAGCAGGAGGGGGCCCTGCTGCAGGAACACCAGCTTGTGGTCCTCTGAAGGAGGTAAGAGGCGAGCAGAGGGGTAGAAATGAATCAGGAGTGACTAAGGGGACAGGCCGGACTCTCCTGAGCCCCCTTCAACACATACACACACCTGACCTGAGCCCACATAACACAGCCCCCCAGCCCCCCAGTCATGTTCTCAGGCAGTAAGGAAGTATCCAGCTAGCTACTTTCTAGACAGTCAATCACTAGGCCCAAGCAGGCCAGAGAGATGGGCCCCCAGACAGACAGAGCCGTGGCTGGCCATACATACAACCTGACTCATCTCTGACTGCCAAGACAGTGCCACAGGCAGACAGAATGACAGACCTCCAGTCAGACAGCCACATTCCCCATCACTGTCCCCAGTCTGTCTCCCGCCTTTTGCTCACCAGCATAGATGGCCCGGATGGCATCTCCTGCACTCTGCACGAAGGACACAAGGGCTGTCATCACACCCATGGTAGCTGATAGAGCCTCCACACTACCATACCGTGAGTAGATGGGCTTGCCTGCCTCGCTCAGCACAAACACATGCTTCCTCTGGCTACGCCAGTCCTCATCACTCGGGTCCCCACCTTGGTTCCCGGAGCTACTCTCAGGGCTATCTGTGGGACCACTGTCAGGGGCTGCAGGATCCTCAGGCTGACAGGTGCTAGATGGGGCCTCTGGTGACAGGCTGGGTGGCTGGTCATCAGGCTTAGATCCTGAAAGAAAGACTCTGATGGGTCACCTGTTTGTGGACCCCACTGACCCGATGTCCCCAAGGACCCACCAAATCCCTACCAGCCATGATAACCCCTGCATGCTGAGCCAAACCTCCACGTGTCTCTACCCTCAACAACCCAATACATTCTCATTATTATTTACTAGCCTATCTACGTCCTTACAGACCAATGATACCCCTCCCAGTAACTGTCATTCCGAGTCTTCACTCACGCTTCTGAGTGACACTGTTATTATCTTCATCCTCAATGATCCCAGGTTGACTCCTCTGATCCCTTCTGCATACTCGCCCCTCAATGACTGTCATTAACATCTGAGTTTCTGAATGCTCCCCAACCACCTAGTTCCTTATTTATTCTCATTGATGTCTCCTGATCCTTAATGACTCCCACTGACTCTCCTGGTCACCTGTTTATACCATTTATATTCTCAGTGACATCTATTAATTTTCCTAATGACTGCCATTAATATCCACTAACACTGAGATCTTTAGGACTCACCTGACTGCCTATTTACACGTGGTTTGCTAACATCCCAGTGACCCTCTATGACTGTCATGATCTACAATTTATTCTACCGCATGTCCAGTCTCTGCTCCTCCATTAATGACCATTATTAACCTCTAACACTCAGAGCTCCCCTGCCCCCCTCTATTATCACTAATGTCTACTCCCCTTCCCACAGTAACCACCCTGATACCCACCCACACACAGGACTTCAATGATTTCCACTGCCCTTCCAATGACCATCATTAACATTTACGAAAACTCACATCTTCAGGGGCCCAATGATACCCTAACACCTCCATTTACTCTCAGTAATGCATATTAATACCCATTATCCATTTGCAACTGCAGGTTGTGCATTCTAGTCTTAAAATCCTAAGTCAAAAATCCCCTACTTTTGATCATGAGAAACATTAAGTGCAAAATTCCACATTTGACCTCATGACAGGTTGCAGTTAAAATGCTACAAAGCAAAAAAATTGCATAAAATAGTCTTCAGGGTACATGTACTAGGTGTATATGAAACATGAAAGAATAGCATGTTTAGGTCCAGATCCCATCCCCAAGATACTGCACTACATGTATGCAAATATTCCAAAATTTAAAAAAAATGCAAAATCAGAAACACTCTGATCCCAAAATTTTGGTTAAAGGATTATTCAGAATGTACATCTCAATAATTTTCCCTTAAAATCCCACATAGTCTCTCAGTGACACTCACTGACACTACCATGAACACAGAAACAATGAATCTCCTTCCAGGAATTGTCATTACCTGCCAATAATTCCAAAGTCCTCAAATATCCATTCCATTTATTCTCAGTGATACCCACTGACCCTTTTCAAAGACCCTCATTAACATACACTGATTCTTCTTTTTTTTTTGAGATTTTGCTATAAGGTGCATGTGCTCACTGGAGACAGAGAGACTGAGAGATGGAAAGTGAGAAATCACCCCCCGGGGGGGATGACCACACTGCAATCCCTTCTCCATGCTCCTCTCAGGATCTTGGGCATGCACACGGGCTGGCGTTGAGTTTTAAGCCACCAGGTCCAGGACTCAAACCACAGTAGACAGTCTACTACGTGGGAGTCCAGTGATGTAACCTTTACGCCACCTGCTGGACCTCAGCCTTACACCATTCCATTTATTCTCAGTGATACCCACTGACCCTTTTCAAAGACCCTCATTAACATACACTGATTCTTCTTTTTTTTTTGAGATTTTGCTATAAGGTGCATGTGCTCACTGGAGACAGAGAGACTGAGAGATGGAAAGTGAGAAATCACCCCCCGGGGGGGATGACCACACTGCAATCCCTTCTCCATGCTCCTCTCAGGATCTTGGGCATGCACACGGGCTGGCGTTGAGTTTTAAGCCGCCAGGTCCAGGACTCAAACCACAGTAGACAGTCTACTACGTGGGAGTCCAGTGATGTAACCTTTACGCCACCTGCTGGACCTCAGCCTTACACAGATTCTAAAGTGATCAATAAACACTGACATCCCAATAACTTCCACTGACTCCCTAATGAATACCTTCACACATCCACTGGATACCTGGGTCTTCAAAGACCTCCAAAGATTCCCTAACCCTTCAGATAATCTCACAGTTGCTTCCTCCACTCATGGCTATTAATATCTACTGGCATTTGGTTCCTTAAAGCCTTTTCCCAACAGCCTATCACTGACTCTTCAATGATGTGAATACTTTTGAGGGTCCACTGAATCTCACAGGACATCTGTGACAACAACCGACCTCCTTTTAATTCAACAATGTAAACTACACCGAGTCCCCAGTGACCGCTTATGTACCCACTGCTCTCAACAATTCCTTCCCAGATCTCAGTGAGGGTAAGTCATACCCGGTTCCTCCAGGCCCCCATCTCCTGAATCCGAATCTGGAGGGCCTGCGTGAACCCCTTCACCGTCTCCAGTTTCCGCACTGGAGAACCGCGAGTCCTCCAAGTCCTCCGCGCCCTCGGCGGCGGCTGGGGCAGCAGCCTCTCCTCCGGCCTCCATCTGCACATCCCTGAGGGGAAGGGAATCGAGGGTGACGAGCAGTAAAAGAAAACTTCTTTAAAAGCGGTTAGAGTCAGCCCCCCTTGCACACACTCCTAGTGCTTGCTCCCTTCGGGATTCAACCGCAGGAGACATTCAACAGCCTGACCAAATGCTTGCACCCTCCGACACTTTGCGAAAAGGGAGCTTCTACCGCGCCTCGGGAAATAAAGATACACAAACACCTGTTTTATCCCCCTTATCTTAATTGGCCGGATACCATTACTTCCCCCGAGCGGCTGCAGGTTCACACTTCCGGGTGCAGCGGGGACTTGCCACACTTCCGGGTGCGACGCCTCGGGAAGACACTTCCGGCTGGTGTGCTTTACTCCCTCCCCACAGAGCTCCGCTGCAGCCGCCCACGGGTGCTTTCTTGCCGTTAAGATAAGCGCGCTAGTCCCCGATCTAAGTAGGATCCAGTCGGGAACTGGGTGTGAGCCTGCTCAGCACGCCTTCCACCGAAATGTGTTCGGGTTCTCAGAGGAGCGAATGCGGCCCACTTTTTGTCCTAATGGCTGTCAGTTGAAGGGGGGCGCGGCTCGCGTCTGCCAATCGCGGAGCACAGAGGGCGGTGCTGCCTCCCTCTGGCCCAATCGGCAGAAGCTGGCTGCCCTCCCTTCCACACGGTCCCTGTCGTACCTCGACCAATACCGTGCTTTGGGTTACATTTGCACCCGCCCATCGCTTGACTGACATCTCCCCTAGCCTAATCGGACGCTTGAGCTTATTCCACTCCTTACCCGAAGACGTTCGCAGCCGAAATCCTTATGGATACCCGAACCGGAACAGCAAACGTACTACCCCAGAAATGAGGCAACTTCACCTTCCCTTATCCACTGAGACAGGCACGGGGAGGGTGGGACGGAGTGAAGCGATTGCTAGATGGGCAATCGCCACTTCCAATCAGAATGCGCGCGCAGCCTGAACGACCTATAGGATTTAGGTCCTACCAGTAAGAGGCGGACAACTCAGAAGTAGGACTTGTTCTTGGGTCTCTGTATTCAGCCAATCAGAGAACTCCGCGCCTCTGGAAAAGGGAAAGATAGCCAGGGGCATCCTCGTGGAGCGAGGTAAGGGAATTGCAAGGGCAAAGAGCAAGCTAATCAGAATTTGTCGAAAACTGGCAAAAGCCAGGCTGTTTCCACTTAACGTAGACAGCGTCTGTGAGCGAGGCTATACAGATTAGGAGCTCAAAACCTGACAAGAGCGTGCATCTGTGGGCGTGGCCTTGAGAGGCCGCTGAGTTTTCGTTGGCTGAGAACAATGCCACTCAGAATTTTGCGTGCCTTTATTGGTTGACTGCATGAGGGAAGGGCGAGAGGTCCCGCGGCTGGTACCCACTCGTCTAAGCGGTCGGTGATAGCTGAGAGAGAAGTTAAAGACTGGGGGGATCTTGGGTTGGTTCCAGGAATGGCAGCCTGAGTTTAGGTAGCCAGAAGGCAATCTTGATAAATTTAGAGCGAGAGCGAGCCATTGCTTTCCAGTATCCATGACTTGATTAGTATTTTTCTGTGTGCCAAATTTAGATTATGTTGATTCCTTCAGTTTTCATATTTATTTAATACTTTCATTGTATTTCAACAAAATCATACTAAGCTTACGGTCCTTTTTAAAATATTTATGCAGGGCCAGCATATGGCTTGAAAATCAATTCATACATGTGTGCCCAAGATCTCAGGAGGAGAAAGGAGAAGGATGATTGCGGCGTGATCATCCTGGGGGGAAGGGAGGGGACAGGGAGAATTTCTCGCTTTCCCTCTCGTTATCTCTGTCTCTCTCTCTCTCTCCAATGCATTTGCACATGCTCTAAGGCAAAATTTCTATTAAAAAAATGAATAAATAAAAACAACCTCTGCACCCATCTGGGAGCACCCAAATACGTAAAAGAAAGACTGCTAGATTTAAAGAGAGAGAAAGACTGCAACACACTAATCATTGGTGATCTCAACACCCAATTATCTCCTTTGGACAGATCATCTAGACAAAACTAAGCAAAGAGGAATAGGATCTAAACACCACCATAAATGAAATGGACTCAACAGAAATCTACAGAACTTTCCAGACAATCACCACAAAATATGCATTTTTCTCACCCCTACATGGAACCTTTTCAAAAGTGGACCACATGATAGGGCACAAAACAAGCCTTTACAAATTCAAAGGCATAGAGAATATATCCAGAATCTTCTCTAACCATGACAAAATTAAATTGGAAATTAATTTCAGAAAAAAATCTCTCAAAAATACATAAACATATGGAAACTAAACAACCTACCCCTGAATGACTTCACAACCACTGAAGAAATTAGGACTGGAATAAAAAGATTTTTTGAAAGCAACAATAATGAGCGCACAAGTTTCCATAATCTATGGACAAAGCAAAAGCAGTCATAAGAGGGAAGTTTGTAACAATTAGTGCACATAAGAAAAAGATGGAAAGTTGGCAAGTAGACAAGTTAACGATATACCTCACGGAACTGGAAAAACAGCAACAGAAAACTCAAAAAATCCCAGGAGAGAAGAAATAATAAAGATTTGGGCAGAAATAAAATAAAGAATAAGTGAACTCTACAGAAAGTAAATGAAACCAAAAGCTGGTTTGAGAAGATAAACAAAATTGATATACTGTTAGTTAGAATAATTAAGAAGAGAGAAAGGAACCAGATCAATCAAATTCTCAATGAATCAGGCAATGTTACAACAGATATAACAGAAATATAAAAGCTCATTAGAGAATATTATGAGCAACTATACGCCAACAAATAAGAAAACCTGGATGAAACAGACAAATTTCTGGACATATATAAGCTACCAGGATGAATATGGGAAGACATAGAAAGCTCAAATAAACCAATTACAACCAATGAAACTGAATCAGTGATAATCTCCCAATAAAGAAAAAAACCCAGGTCTTGATGGTTTCATTTCTAAATTCTACAAAACTTTTAAAGAAGAGTTAACCCCATTCTACTCAAACTATTTCTAAAGATCCAAAAGGGGGACCAGCAGGTGGCATGATGGTTAAGGTGCTGGACACTTCCACATGGCTGACCACGATTTGAGTCCTGTGCCTGGTGGCTTGCTTTCTCACTTTCTCTCTCTCTCTCTCTCTTTCTGTGTATCTCTCTGGTCCAATTAAAATAAGTAAATGATTAAGATGTAGAACTTTCACGTAAGTTTCCAGTGTCCTACTTACTCTTTGAAGAAGCACCTGCATTGCTGCATGGGGCAGCTAATGGAGCTGACCAGGCCCAGTGTAGATGGAGCCTTCACTTCCAGTGCACACACCCGCCCCTGCCAGGTGAGTTCTCCCATGCAGCTGAGATCACCTGGTTACCCATGGGTTCTGTTGGCATTTTTGATAATCTGCCATGTTTTCCAAAGAGTCACATTCACTTTGAAAGTTTATTTGTAACTTTCAAAAATGCAATCTGTCCACACTCTATGGTAGAGACTGAAAGACTGGAGAACATAAAAGCATTAAAAATTGTAATGGAGGGACCAGTAGTTAGCATAATGGCTATGTCACTGGACTCCCATGTAGTCGGAAGAGCACAGAAAAGGAAAGGTGGGGAAAAAATAGAGAGGTAAGACACTCGTGGGACACAGATAAGATTTATTATCTGTTGACGAGGATGTGTATGGTGGTCTCAACTGGGCTGGACTGAGGTGTATATCATGCTTGGTAAAGTCTCTTTACAATATAAATGATGTATAGCAATTGAATGTATGAATAATACTACTACTAATAAAAATTGTGATAAAAAAACAAAAAAATAAGTAAATGAATACATAAAATTAAATAATTCTCTAAAAAATTATTTTAAAAAAAGTTCCAAAAGGAAGGAACCCTCCCAAATTCATTTATGAAGCCTCCATCACATTCATCCCCAAAACAGACAAGGACATAATAAAACAAGATAACTACAGACGAATATCTCTGATGAACATAGATGCAAAAATTCTCAACAAGATACTGGTAAATTGTATCCAAAGACACATTAATAAGATTATTCACCACAACCAGGTAGGCTTTATTTCAGGGATGAAAGAATGATTTAACCTGGGGACCAGCAGTTACGTAATGGCTATGTCGCTGGACTTCCTTGTAGTTTACCGCTGTTGGCGTCCCGGACCTGGTGGCTTAAAACCCATGCTGGGCGCATGTGCGTGTGTGCCCAAGATCCCGAGAGGAGAATGGAGGAGAAGGGATTGTGGCACGGCTATCCCTTCTGGGGGGTGATTTCTTGCTTTCTGTCTCTCTGTCTGTCTCTGTTTGTCTGGCGAGTGCATGCGCCCTATAATGAAAAATCTCTCAAAAAAAAGAAAAAAAAAAAAAGAATGATTTAGCCTGTACAAAACCAGGACTGGCAGGTGGTGTCATAGTTAAGGGCACTGGATTCCCATGTTGCCAACCACAGTCCAAGTCCCGGACCTGGCAGCTTACTTTTTGCTTTCTCTCTCTGTCCCTCTCTAGTATATTTAAATTAATTAATTAATTAAAATAAATTAAATAATTCTTTAAAAAATACACAAAACCAAAATGTAATACACCATATCGACAGAAAGAAAGATAAAAACCACATGATTACATCAATCAATGCAGAAAAAGAATTTGATAAAATGCCATGTCCCTTCATGATTAAGATTCTCAGCAAAACTGATGTCAAAGGGACATTTCTCAGCACAATAAGAAGCATATGAAAAACCCATACCTAATGCCATACTGAATGGGGAAAAGCTGAAAGCTGAAATAAGACAAGGCTAGCCACTGTCTCTACTCCTTTTCAATCCTAGCCAATAAAATCAGACAAGAAAATAAAATAAAAGTACTTCAAATATGGAAAGAGGAAGTGAAATTATCTCTATTTGTAGATGACTTGATTATATACATAAAAAACCCAAAAGGATCCATGAAAAAACTCCTGGCAGTGATAAATGAATACAGTAAAACAACATACAAAAATCTATAGCATTTCTATACACCAACAGTGAACAGACTGAAGTAGAATTGAAGGAAGCAATTCCATTTACAATAACCACAAGAGAAATAAGATATCTAGGAATGAACCTAACCAAAGAAGTCAAAGATCTCTACAAGGAAAACTATGAAAAACAAGACAAAAAAACCCAAAGAGACACAAAAATGTGGAAAGATATCCCATGCTCTTGGTTCGGAAGTATTAATATAATCAAAATGTCAATCATATGCAAATTATTCTACAAATTGAATATAATCCCAATCAGACTACCAGAGATATTCTTTACAGATTTAGAAAAAACAAGCACAGAATTTGTCTGAAATCAAAAAAGACGACATATTGCCAAAGCAATACTTCACAAAAAGAGTCAAATAGGAGGCATCTCACTTCCTGACCCCAAAATATATTGCAAAATTTTGATAAATAAATCAGCATGGTATTGGCAGAAAACCAATGGAACAGAAAAGAGACCCTAAAAATAAACCCCAAAACATACTGATTTTTGACAAAGGGCAGTCTATCCCGTAGGGAAAAGGAGATCTCTAGC